ATTCACGTCCAGCTCCAGTTTTAACGTTTTTTCGAAGCCTTTTTTCACTTTGGAAACACCGATGCACGCAGTTTCTTCACCTCAGTTGCACTAGTTTCGATCTTGTCTCCCATTTTTCATCATAATCTGGATTACCCGAAATTATGTGAACGGTGCCTTTAAAACTGGCCACTTTTTGCTCGTTCCTCCCTACCATGGCACTATTGGGACTCTCATTATTTCACTTGGGCTAGTTCACCTCGAATATAAAAGATAAAGTCTTTTGATGTTTATCATCTCGCCTGAGGGATGCGCCCCCGCACTCAACTTCCATTCAGAATCGTAGTGGAGTGATGAATGCGTATGTGGCCTATACAATAGGCTTGCGGTGGCCAGCCGATGCACAAACCAGTGCTTTTATCCTCCCAGACGAGCCTGGTACCAACTAGCCGACCTCGCATGGATGGAAGGCTTGATTGGCCCAAGGATAACGACCGGGGACTCGAACCCACGGCCCTGCGTGCGATATAGTGCGCCACTTGCCACTACACCACATCCGCCCACGTCAAATATGATCATGAAGTATACGTTCAATTTTGGCTGGAAAGAAATAGGGGAAAAATGAAACCTTGCTCGTTTTTGAAAATACTAAAAAGTTCTCCGCGCTTAGAGTTTGCGCAAATTCCCCTCATCACTTTCTTTGGGACAATTTGAGACCTTTCGATGTTTTTTTCATTGTTTGAATGAACTAAAATGCAAAGAGAAAAGGCTTTCTTTGTTTATGGGATCAAACAAGTAATTTCTCATAAGTGTTTGGTACCGCCTCCAGTCTGGGACAGCATTTTTCGAGAGTTCCTTCAAAGTAAACAGGTTCAAGTACATATACGACAGCAGCAAAATATTCATTCTATACCCTGTCCCTTCAAGGTCCGCTCCCATGAAGCAGTTTAGGTGGCTTTCAATTTCTATCTTCATTTTCATTAAATTCTACTCACTCAAGAAGCTGGAAACTTGATAAAATTTTCGAGTCTTGATTTATCGAGCTTCGACATTTTGACGGATGACATCTGGATTGTTAATTCAATTTTGCAAGAAAAAGCTCGGCACTGTACCATTACTCTAAAAATGTTTATGTGAAGCCGAAAAGGTGTGGAATAACTGTCGTGAGAACAGCAAGCTTGACTTCCAAAAATTGAGGTTCTGTCAAAAAAAAA